AGCGTGTCAGAGGTTCTGGGTACTAAAACGCAGTTGTATAGTTTTTTTCTTTTTCTCATTAAAACCGAAAATGTTCATCAGTGTTTGTATATCAAGCAGGAACCATTTTTGCATTTTGTTTTGTGACCAGAACGAAGAGAGAGTCTCCACAACGGCGATAGACTGAAGCGTGTGTCCGAGTGAAGACTACACGAGCTGAAGGCCATGACTGAAACCCCACAGTATGCCACTGTCAATAATACATAAATAAATAAATACAATAGAACAAAGATACAAATTAAATAATCAGTGCGATTAAGGTTAAGATAGGTCTAACAGTAGTTTTCAGGTACAGAAATTAAATAATTTAATCAAATGTAAAATAACACTGCATATAATCTTCAGTGTACAAATTAAATAAAGGTTAATCCTTAAATAAAGTTACAAAATGTTGTTCAGTGAAGAGCAGGGAGTTTGTTAAACATTAAAAACATTAACATTAAAAAACCGACAGTTACAGGAAAATTAGATTGCTTTAAGACTAACGCACAGACCCAATATGATACACAAGTTCTTTCTCCACTCTTTGCTTAAGCCATAACCGACCTATGTTAACTTGGATACTCACAAAGGGGGGCATTTTGAGAGAAATGTGTGTGAATGTCCTTTTAAGAGCGGGAAGAGGTGAAAGAATTTATTTTATTATTTGCATGATCTCTGAGACGCTCAGCTATGTGCACTGCGCACACATCGCACAAGAATTCGCTTTCGCCTGAATGCCTGAAAGTGTGCACACGAGGGGGAAGAGATGAGGATTGAGGAGCAAGGAAGCTTTCTGAGGAGTCATGAGCGAGGATTTCGGGTTCAAAACACGGGTTTCTCCTTCCCTAGCATCCTAAGGGGGTGGAGCTAAGACGCAAGGAAATGAGAGAGGGAAGGAAATGAGGAAACAAATAGGAAATGAGAAGCACCCATTATGTTCAACGTTCACGGAAATAGATTGATTCGGTGTCAATTCTCAATGGCCACAAATCAACCACATTTTAAAAAACAATTCATCGATTTTTTTTTTTTGCCCAGCCCTATTCCTCAAGTGTCATTTCAATGAATTTGCACTTTTGAAAGCAAACATTCAACTTAAACTGTAACAAAAAAAATGTTGAGCGATATATTATAATGCATTATTCCGTGATATAATTCTGACACACATCATAACACATATTGTAAAGCAGCAATACCCTAGCCTTAGTAACAACATTAATTTAGAGAGAATGAGTAAAGACATCATGTATACTTTAAATGCCATATGCTCCAGGAAAAATCCAGCACCGTTATTCTTCTCAGATTCATATCTGCTCCCACAACCAATCCAAAGGCCGACCTGCAAAAGCCAGACAAATGAAAAGCACAAAGGATTAAGTTAGCAGTGCTCAGTGCTTTTGAGGTTGATTTCCTTTTAGCTAAACGTGTTAATTTGTAAACGGAAAAGTTAAAGGACAGAGTTACTTAGGCTTTTTTAATTCCTGTTATTTTTATGAACACAGAAAATATGAACACATAAAAAAGCAAGTCACCGTGCATGTGGCCTGGTTGGTCTCTTCAGAGGCAATCCTCAAGCCATTGCTCAAGGTAGTGAGCCGAGTTTCTGAAACTCCGAGCAGGCTCTGAGCATATGATACAGAGGCCTGTCCTCGGCTCAAAGACAGCAGAAGAGGCTAAAATAAAAAGAAAGATAAACATAAGAATATGGTGTACATTCTTTTACCAATTTTAAAAAGGAAGAAAATCCTCCTATTATCCTTGGGGTCAATTTGACCCCATCCAATGTTTAACGTCTGTAAATACATAATTATATATATATATATATATATATATATATATATATATATATATATATATATATATATATATATTTATTTAATGACTTTTCCTAATTTAATGGGGATAACTCTGTAAACATAAAAATGAACCTGCTAATATTTTCTATTATAATACTTATTTTCTTGCTAATAAGTCCTGCACACATTTTGTAGCATGCAGTCAACTTGAAAGGTTACTTAAGTAGTCAACAAAGACATACATTAACTGAGATAAACCTTTGGTTTAAATTACTGGGGTCAAATTGACCCCAGTAGGTAAAAAAAATGTTATCAGATTTGAGGGTAACAGGAGGGTTAAAAATAAAATGAAACCTAAAATGTTTCCCTCAATGTAAAATAAGACAGGTCTTTATTACAAATGTAACAATGACTTAATGAAAGTGTTTTAAATAAGAATAAATTCATTGCTATGCTTCCCTACTGACTACTGACAATTTTTATTATCATGAATCATGTACAAGGAGAGAGAAAAGGTGATAAAATTCAACTCAAGTATTTTTATTTAAGTACGTTGTATATAGGTGTGCCCAGAATATGAACGTTATACTATTCTCATGTTTCGTATTTATGTGTTTGAGTGTGTATACATTCATGTTTTCTGATGGCACTTCACCACGTTAGAAGCATTACAGTAAACGGGAGAATAGAAGTGAAAGTGAGAGAAAACAATCTTGAAAAGAGATGTGAGAATTTAAGGAGAAAAACTAGAGATCCATAGGGTATTTCAGTAAATTAGCTTTTCATGGGATTTAGTGTTTAAAGGGCAGCTATTATGGAAAATTCACTTTTACATGGAGTTTGAACATAAATGTGTGTTGGCAGTGTGTGAGCAAATCCACCCAGTGGTTATTTTACAATCTCAATAAATCTTCTGCACTGCCTCAGAACGAGCTGTTCTAAGATTCAGCTCTTTGTGACGTAGAATTTAGCAAGGGGTTTGATTGACAGGGTGGTTGTGGCATAGACCCCGCCCTCGGGGATCTGTACACCATCCTCCATTGTTTCAACGACAGCCGGTAATGTCTCTTGGAAACATGTTCTTTCGTGGGTTAATCCTGTTGTTGTGGCTTAAAAGTTAATCCTCAAGTGTGGATCGTCGTCTACTGTTTGCGATCCACAGTCACCTCCAGTAACATTAAGTGTATTTTATGATTTTTGAGCAAACACTAAGTCTTTTCAGTCAATGTCAGCCGTCGTCGTAGGATGTCTGTGTAGGCTATATAATTTAAACCTCGTTTGTATAGTGTGTAACCACACGTTTATAAATATATATATTTTTAAAGATATTGTATTAAAAACTGCATATATGTTGTTGTTCTGCAAGTTAGCCATCTTCTCACATTTACCAGAGAAGCACCTGTATGACAAGCTAAACATGACGCTACAGGTCCCTCGCATAACTGTAATTTCGCTTGTACGTAACGTTAGCAAACTTTATCACAGTATGTGTTAGTTTCAAAAAAATTGCCCCAGCATTAGTGTTTGTGTGTGTGTGTGTGTGTCTTCCACATCCATAATTGCAAATGGGACGCGATTACAACAACTCTGACTATAAGTACATAAATGTATCAAATAACCATACCGAGACATACTGGTCCATTCTCGTTTGTGTTTATTCTGCCGGAGTCTCTTTGTACTATTTATATATTCCGATTCAAACGTACGCTGAATGACATTCAAAACAGCGGTTTCTCTCACTCTCTCAGAACCGACTGCCATAGGTATCAAGTTACGCCCTCATCCAAAGGCAGGGTGGGGATATGCAGCTCATTTGCATTTAAGGTTGTATAACCCCGAAACATCTCATTTTTAAGCAGGCCCCAAAATGACATTTTAAATGGTTATAATAAATTAGCTGTGGGGTATTTTAAGCTGAAACTTCACAAATACATTCTGGGGACACCCGAGACCAATATTACATCTTGTAAAAAGGGGCATAATAGGTGCCCTTTAAGAAAAATAGTTTTCACTAAATTTTGGTAGCCATAAAACAAAAAAAATATTAAAGTATAGCTTTTCAAAACTACATGAAACCAAAATGAACGAACAGCACATTTTTAAGAACTTGCCATGAATTATGATACAGATTTGTTTTTAAAGAGTTTCATTTTATTGACACACCAATAGGTCACTGACTCATTAATTGAATGTTGTTTATTAACAAGCAAAATAAATGCGCTCTTCGTCAAACCAGATTCTATGCTGTATTTTTGTAAAAGTGTGATGATGCATTGAGGAGAGCGCGCTGCATCTAAAGTATTTTTTGTTATTTGATTAAAATTGAAAAGGGAAATGTCACAAAAATGTATAAGTTATACAGTTTAACAATATAAAACGAAAAAAAGATTCTAAATATCAGGGTGACGGGAAGTTTTCAATGACCTTGTCAAGTAAAATTTCATGTTCCCTAACCATGAAGAAAAATGAAGATAAGTGCGCAATATCTAACTTTCTAGAGTTACAAAGTGACTTGCTTACTGGACTATTAAATACTTGTGTCTTGGTCCTCGAAAGCTCTCACACACTAGAAAGAGATCTAACCTTCAATGTAACCGAGCTATCAGCTAGCTTTCCGACATTGACAAGGCCAATGACAGCCACAGTGAGCTTGGAGATCGACTGGTTAATGCGCGCGTACTTAAATTAATGTTTGAAATTCTTAAAGCCAGCAATAAATTGCAAAGCCATGAAATACTCACATAGCCAGCTTTAAAAAGAGCTCGATTCATCGCCCCGCTGATCCGCCACATAGAGGCAGCCATCTTGTCCACAGTGTGCACAAATGTCTTCTTCTTCTTCTGTTGTTTAAATGGCGGTTGGCAAACCAACTTCAAGGTGCATTGTCCGCCACCTACTGGATTGGAGTATGGAGCACTACTTGATAGAATACACTTGAATTTATTATAAATAAAAAAAAAACTTATATTTAAATTATATCTTTCTTACTAGTTCTGTGTCATTTAAAAATTTGAATACTTTTTCGTGTATTGTATACTCTGTTCCTTAAGTGTATAATTTCTTACAACCCTATCCTTTAACGACTGAATTAATTCACGCCTTTCTCTGCTGTATGCTACACATACTAGTAATATATGTTTTACTGTTTCTGGATGTCCACATTTATCGCAACTACCATTTTCATGTTTTCCTATTCTATGTAAACTTTGATTCAGCGCTGTATGTCTAATACGCAGTCTTGTCATAATTACATCCTTTTTCCTGTTATTAACGTTTGCTCTTTCCACCCCCACCTTACTTTGTATACTATAGAAATGTCTTCCTCTTAATTCATTGTCCCATATCCTCTGCCACATCTTTTTCACTTCAGTCCCAATCAGTCCCTTAGTTTCTGCTTACTCATCTGTACTCTGATTTTGATCTCACAATCTTTCAACGACTCCTTTGCCAGTTTATCAACTTCCTCGTTCCCCTTTACTCCGACATGTGCTGGCACCCATAGAAAACTCACTCTTACGCCTAAGTGTTTTATGTTAAATAACTTCTGCAATATTTCATTTAAGATATCTTGTCTTGTTGCAGAAGTTCCACTCTCTAGACTTTGCAGAGCTGATTGTGAGTCTGAACATATTACACTACTATTTGGTTGCCTTTCTTCAATCCATTGTAATGCTAATGATATATCAATTCTGTAGTGAAAACAGATAAATGATCTGTTACTCTTTTTGACATTTTAAGTCTGTGCTGTGGGATATATACTGCTGCAGCGGCTACCTGTTATTGGATCTTTTGATCCGTCTGTAAATATTTTTACCATGTTGTTATACATTTGATTAATGTGTTGTTGAACTATACCTTTTAATGGCAGATTTGATTCATTTTTGTGTATCTCTTTATGAATTAATAAGTCTATTTCTGGCATTGGGTATAACCATGGAGGTTTAGATGATATTACAACAGAAGGGGATACATCTATCTCTGTTAAACCCATTTCCTGCGCCCCCTTATTTGCTACCCATCCAAAACTGTTTACATTTCCATAATTATACTCCCAACAGTTTTCCAGTACGTGCACAAATGTTCTTCTTCTTCTTCTTCTTCTTCTTCTTCTATGGATTAATTGGCGGGTTGCATACCAACTTTATGGTGCATACCGCCACCACCTGTGCTGGAGTGTGAAGTGATTTCAGTCTAGAAGTATGTTAAAAGATGACTATATTCTAGTCCTAAGACCACTATGCTTTATGAATTTTAAAACTGACCTTACAATTTCCCTGGATCCTTGTTTTGTGTTCAATATGTTATTGATTGTAAATTCTTTGCATCCCATTTCCTTTAGTTCACTTATTAAATCCTTTCTTTCCTGTTCATACCTGGAACAAAATAACAACACATGTTCAACTGTACCCTTTTTTTTTTTTTTTTGTGCTTTGGCAGATACAGGCTTTAACAGTTTGTGGCCTGAGAGCCTATCGTGATCTGCAGCTACTCAGAACTAAGAATGTGTAATAAGTGGCAACAAGACATCAAGAGTGTTAGACTTGGGTAATTTTAGTGCATGACTTGCTCGTGCTCTTCGAGTGGTTCGGCAGACGAGATCTGGTGGGGGTAGCAGAGCTTTGAGATCCTCTGGACAGTTTTCAGTGTGCATTTTGAAAAGCACAGTTGTTGCTGCAACAGTTCTCCGATGGTTGAGCTGACTGATTGCATATTTCCTTAGGGCAGTGTCCGCATCCACCCCAATGATTTTCAGTGCCTTTTTCTGGATGTTGTCAATCTGCCTGAGGGTGGTCTGTGATGCGTTCATCCAGGCAAGGCAAGAGTACTCCTGACTTGTGCCTTGAAGACATTGGCCCTACCTTTGACATCAAGCTTGTTGGCCAGCCTGCGCAGAGCTCCAAGACACTGTCCAGCACGCTTACAGATGTTTGACAGGTGATCATTCCATATCAACTTATTATCGAAACATAGTCCCAGAATATTCAACTGCTCAAAGAGGTCTATTCTGGTTGTCCCAAAGAACAGGTCCGGACGGGATGGAGGCCTCTTTCTCGACAGAACCATAGCCTTGCATTTGCTAGGTTCGAACGTGACCTTCCAAGTATCTGCCCACCTGCGAATATTCTCCAGATCTTCATTTAAGGATGCTGCCACATTGGGACCATTAAGTGCTGTTACTGGGGCATAAATGGTGGAATCATCCGCATACAGAAAAATGCTGTTATTGCACTGTTCTACAACATCGTCAATGAAGATGGAGAATAATAGCGGGCCGAGAATCGATCCCTGGGGCAACGAGGCGTTGATTGGTTTTGGTGATGAGGACTGACCAGAGAGCACGACCTGGATGGACCTTCCTTCCAGATAATTCTGTAGCCAAGAAAGTAGTGGCCCAGTTATACCTTTTGCAGAAAGCTTATTCAGAAGACCGTTGTGCCAAACCTGGTCGAACGCTCCTTTAATGTCTAGTGCAACAATATACACCTCACCTCCTTTGTCTAAGCTGTTGTTCCACGTCTGCGATAGAACTGTAAGGAGGTCTGCTGTGCAGTGGTTCGGTTTAAATCCATACTGTTTAATCCGGACGGGGTATATTTACTTGGCATATTTCGCATAAACCAGTACCATGTTTCCCTATAATATGAAGTGTTGAATTAAGTTTTGTATGTCCCATCCTTAGTCTTGTTAAAATAACCTGATCTTCTCTCTTTAAATTTTGTGTCAATATACTTTGTCTTTATGTAGATTATAAAAATGTCTTCCTGTTTTACATTCATTCCACTTTCTTTGCCATTTCTGGTTGCAGGCAGCTTTAATAATACTCTTCCCTTCCATCCTGCTCACAAATGGTCTGACAGTATAGGACATATATCCTATCTTAATACGCTCCGGTAAGTTTTTCCCATTGAAAGTTTGTACAACAGTAGTACTACTTTCTTTTTTACCATTTCTACTTGAAAGCAGGCGATTCACTTCTGTCACCATGTCGTTTGTAATTTGTGCCTTTAAGACCTCATTTGATAAAGCTACAGGAACCCCCGTAATCACTCCTTTAAGATTTAGTCAGGGAGCCAAAGTCTCAAAAGCTCTATAAAATGGGTTGAACCTGATATGGTCTGCCATACTTTTTATTTGTGTTTTTTCTGTTAACTTTGACCCTAAGAACAAATAATTGGAGGGTCTGCTCTGCCGGAAATAAAAAATTGTGGCCATTTTAGTGTACGCACCCTTTATTTTTTATCAGAAAAATGTGAAAAATTATTTTTTTCATCAAATCCTTAGTGGGTTGGGTAGGTTCTCAATAAATGCATTCCAGATACACAGAACACATGTGCGGACAACATACACTGAAAAAATTATTCTTAAAACACATTTCTACATGATTTTGCATCAATTTAATGCAAAAAAACCAGGCGTTTTTTCACTTTTTTTCCACTATTTTCATCTTTACTTCATTGGCAATCAACTATTCCATTAAGTTATGACAACAGGCAATATGCCATTCTTTTCACCAAACACTATCCACAAGTTTCCGAGGGGCGCTCCTGTAAAAAATAAAGTGGGTGTAACTTCCGGTACGGCGGCGGAAGTAGCATTCCAATGGTATTTTGTGTGTTAGTTAGCGAAGAGGCTAGCTGTTTTTCTGAGAATTATTTCACTATTTAAAGACGCAAATCTTTATGAGAGATGGTGTTACGGAGTTCATGGACAACATGTGCTGTTCGCGGTTGTATGTATAACCGGACTAAACTAATTAAGTGGCTTAAACGTGATTGTTTTGAACATAAGCTGAAAACGAAATCAGAGTGATCCTGCCAGAGCCTGTGTCTGATCCTGCCAACGACTGTAGTTTCCATCACCTCCCAAAAGACGACGAATCGTGCTGTGTACATTTGTTTAAATTCTTTATATTCTATAAACTCTAGCATGTGATTGGCTGTTCGCTACTGATGTTACAGCTAAACTCAGGATCAAAGCCTGTGTTGACAGAATACCAAATGTGCCAGTTAATGTATTCAAGCAGCACATTCATTTATAATTTTGAATAAACTCCAAAGCACAATGACTAAGTGTGTATTTTTTATTTTAATTGTTTGTCAGCTCGCACAACTGTCTGTCACCATGCCTTGATGAGTATTGATTATTAATAATGTTATTATAATACTCCCAATCAACTACTGCAGAGGGTAAAGGTACTGTTATTTCACCCTTTTTAATTTGGTTGAGGTTGTGTTCCCACATCGTTAGCTAGTTTGGATCGCTATAACTTGAATGACTGTCAACTGTTGAATGAACGAGTGTAAAGCATGTCAAATCGCGCTTTGTTTACTTCCAACCGGAAGTCGCGCCCACTTTTGACGCAAGGCCTCATGGGGCGTAGGAAACTTGTGGATACTCATTCCACAGAAAAAATGATAAAAATCCAAACAAAATCAATGGATCTGTGATGATTTCACTACTAGTTGGCGATCAACAGGCTCAGAATTTCAATAGAATTTTAGACTACTCTCAAAATTCTTAAAAACATGCTGTATATTTAGCATCATGGCTCACACACACGCGTGATCTTAGTAATTTTTATGTGTTTGGAACAACCAACCAACGGTTACCAACGGACTTCAAAGCTGCTCATCATTGTCTGTGGTAAGTGATAGTGACTAATATACCGATAGCTGCCCCAGAGTTTTGGGAAAAGAATGGTAATATGGATATTGTAATGGTAAGTAACTGAAATGACCACACCAGTCTTCAAACAATAATATTTCTGATGATTCTTCATCCCAAACGTATCCCTGCAGCAGCAGCATTCATTCTCTACTAGTTTACTTAGCTAGCTTTAGCCGTTTTAGCTAATTTCGGTGGTTTCTTTAAACGGCATTACTCCTCACGAGT